AGAAATGATCTGTAATGCATAGAACATAACGATTTCCACGTGATGTTAACATCAAAGGTCCACAGTAGTCAATTCCGATCATCTGAAACGGACCTTGTGGTGGTGGTATTGGATATAAATGTCCAGGTTTCTTTTTCCTACTATAATTACGTTGGTTACAATTGAGACACGAATTGATGTGATCGTGTATTGTGTGTTGCATGTCAGGGCGCCAATACTTGTATTTCATTTTATCATATGTTCTGTCAAGTCCGAAATGTCCCGCTAGTGGATGATCATGATAGGATCGAAGAGTAGGTGCTATCATGTTTTAGGAAGATAAATAAGTTTTGTTTTAGTTCATCCAGAATCTCTTGACAATAATTTATAAAAGACACCATGTTCCAACACATATGGATATTTATTCGGATTTTCCTGAACTTCGCTGATCTTTTTCTGAATTTCTGGATCTTTCTGCTGCGCCGCGATCAAATTTATTCTATCCAAAAAACTTGGTAATACTCTTTCTTTTGATGGTTCTGCTTCTGTAAGTGAAGTGTTATTTGCAGGCTTTTCTGCAGGTAGACTCCTCGTCGTCATCTCTGCTGTCTAAAATCCTTTATATTCTTACATCCTTCACATATTGCATTATTTTCAGACGTGCGCGATTACAATTACAAAATGTAAAGTTCAAACATTGCTATTACCTGTAGAATTAAGAATTCTAGAATTATGAACTTTACATCTATGTAAAGGTGAACTTTACTTGTTCAGAATTTTCTGAAATTCTGAATTCTAGGGGTGAAGGTGAGGATGAGTGTGAATAAGCAACTTTACATGTATGTAAAGTTCATAATTCTAGAATTCTTAATTCTACAGATAATAGCAATGTATGAACTTTACATTTTGTAATTGCAATCGCGCAGCCCTCATTATTTTTTCTCCGACTCATGCAGGATGATTTACATGTGCCATATAACTTTCGAATGATGAGATCTATCGTATAAGCCGAAGGTACCCTTGTGAATAAACTTTTGATGTCAAACGAAACCATTTTTATTTTTAGATATGACCTGGGAAAAGTTTTAACCAAATTCGTGAATTCAAATGAGTCCTTAATCCTACTAGGGTCATTCTTCAGACTGAAAATGGGCCATACATCGATCCGGTGGTAAGCGAACGGTTTCGAAACACAATATTCCGGCTCGACTTTCCATGCTGAATCTAATGAAAAAAAGCATTTTCAGTTTAGACCAACTGGAAAAGAAAAACTTGAAATTTTCCGAGAAAACGGCGATTTTTCCGGATTCGTCGGTTTTCCAGTATTTGAAGGTCTTCTACGAGACGAAAACGTTTCTTCTCAATAAATCTTACATATTCGAAATCAGCGTCGAAAACTGCGTCGAATGGTGTATGATTTGTCAAGAAAAAAAATTTTTAACTCGATCTTTGAATTGGGGGCACCTTATTGTATGTAAGGTACAGCTAATGAAAAATTCGAGTGGATTTTATTTTTCAGGTTGTCATACATATTCTAATTCGTCTTGTTGAGCTGATCACGAATATTACCTTTAAAACCGTGAAAAGTCCTTTTTCCATGAAGAAAAACCTGAAATACTGCAAGGGTCTACAAAATCGAAAAAAATGACCTTTATCGTAGAATTGACCTTTTCGAAGTTTTATTACAAGATGAAAGGTTAAAACCATTTTTTTCTGAATCAGCGTTGAAAACTGATTTAGAAAAGCTCTTCAGTTCATTTTCACGGTAAACACTCGTCCGACATGTGTATCGAAACTGGCGGGTGTCAAATGGAGCATCATTCATTTTGTCAGTCTATCTAGTTGTTTTAATCAAGGTCTATATCTTTGGTTCATACACCATTAAGTCGGCCAAGAAACCAGCTTCAAAAGTACGGAAAGCTTTTTTTAAAATTCCTTTTCCTTGCTGAGAAAATTGACTTTTACTGGAAAATATCCAAAGCGGAAAGGTGTTTATGAAATACATCACATGCCTCCAGCATCTCGCTTTGCAGGTACACCTTATGAAAAGATCATCCGATATGATATGCCAGCGATACTCATGCATAAAAAAGATCATAGAGCGATTCTTTCGACAGGATCGAGCACAGAAAGTAAAGAGCATCGCAAACAAATTCATGAACCCATGAGAAATGGACATATGTTTGTGACTACGGAGGTAGAACTAAACAATACAAAAAATACGGCTAAGGAAAGCGAACCCTATGCAAAACATACTAATCAATATCTTGATTATGTGGCAACTAAATCAGCAACGAAACGCCCCAGAAAACGAAGATAAAACCACTACTCTAATAACTGAGCAAAAAAAACAGGAACTAAAAGAATAAGTCAACTAAAGCCAACTAAAATTGCCTGATGGTCCTACCATGGTTGCATATACCATATTAGAAATGCCTTCGGCAACTAGAGCACCTCCTATATTAACAGCACCGAATGAGATTAAGACTGCGCCGGCAGTGACTTGGGCAAGTCTTATCATTGCAACGGCAAATGCATTGCAATCCCACGAGGAATTGTCTTCTTTAATAATTAAAAACTTATTGAGAGCAAGTCCTCGAAAAAAATTTAATTCAGTTGGAACAATTTCTTGATCTGGAAGATCAATAAAGTCTGTAAGGGTTGCTTTTAAACCATCTTTATATGAACGAATATCTCCTTGTAAAACTGATAGTTTCGACTGACTTAGTTTCTTGTCATTTTCATAACTAATATCTTCTAAAATTTCATCTAACTCCCAGGAAGAAATTTTGGACCTCCGCAGGTCCTTCTAATCTATTAAGAAGTTCTCATAAGTTAGATTCATGC